AGTTTCTACTTTGGTTTGATGGAAAAAAATGCAATTATTGTCAGGTAAGGAATTTTGTTAGTTTTCTAACCTAGCTGTAACAGATGACCATAAATTTAGTAGCTTAAAGCAACACTCGTTTGCTATCTGTCTCACAGTTCTATTGGTCAGTCCTGTTGGCTTGGCTGGTTTCTTTGTATCAGGTGTTGCAAGGTCAAAATCAAAGTGGGACAGAGCTGCATTCCCTTTTATAGACTCTGGAGGAGAATCTCCTTCCAGGCTCATTCACGTTTTTGACAGAATTCAATTCCATATGGTTGTAGGACTGAAGTCTCCGTTTCCTTGTTGGTTAGAGGCATCTTTCTAGTCCTTGCATGTGGGCTCCTACAGCAGAGCCAGCAACAAGAAATCAACTTTTTCTTGTGTTTTCATCTTTTCTGCTTCCCCTTGTACTGCATCTCTCTGACCCTTCACCCTTTCTTTTCTTCTTTTAAGAACTCAAGTTATTAGCTGAGGCTAACCTGGATAATTCAAGATAATCTAGGTGAATCGTTCTATTTTAAGATCTGTAACCTGAGTCATAGCTGTAATCAAAGATTCTAGTGAATATGGTATGGAAATATTTGTATGCCTATTATTTTGCATGCCACATGATTCTTCTATCTCTGTCAGGTATCCTCAACCCTAGCTATATATTAAAATCACCTGGGAAACTTGAAAAAATGCTTATTCCTGGTCCCCGAGCAAGATGAAGTGAATCAGAAATTTTTGGAGTAGAGTGGAGGCAATGGCCTTTTTTAATGACTCAGAAAATTATACTAGGCTTGAAAGGGTTAGGAATAACTAAAAACATCAGGTTTCTTCAACTTGATTAAATTTATTTTATAAGTCATCTACTTTAAAAACGCTTTCTGTATGCCTTCTTTATGCAGTCACTTTGCTAGGGTGTGTAGCCATGGAGATGAATATGCTGCCTGCCCTATTCTTACTGTGCTCACAATCTCATGCACAGACACATAAATAAATAATCATAAGATTATATGATATGTTTTAAAATAGATATTTGAATAACTTGCTCTGGGAGTTCTGTGACATTAATTAAGCCTGGGAACACTGCAGAATATTGGCTTGATTTAAACTTTATGCTTCCTTTTAAAACCGTCAGGCCGGTACCTAGAAACAGTGAAATACAAGTGTGTTCAGGTTTTGACATGGCCCAGTAAGAATGAAGTATTCATATTGTGCTTTCCCAAGTTTAACAGGCCAAGAATTTACTTGGGTACCTACTAAACATGCAGATTCCTAAATTATTCTTAAAAAAATACTGTTCCAGAGGGTCTTTGGTGGGGCCTGGCCACCCTAAAACTTACTTAACATTTTCAGTAAGTTTTGGGGGTGACTCTGGTGCAGGTGGCCCACAGCCTTACACTTTGAGGATGCTGCTGTGTACTGCATCAGTGATTTGGCACTTGCTCACTTAATAGCTTAAAAAATAATGCATGACTCAAATGACATCCTAAAGAGGACATATAATTTCAGTTTCTTATATCAGTAACAGATCTTCAGGAAAGTGAAGCTTCTTTATGTTTTGTTTTACTAATTGCTTTACATAGTAAAAGTGTGGGCTGAGTGCAGTGGCTCACATCTGTAATCCCAGCACTTTGGGAGGCCAAGGCAGACAGGTCATCTGAGGTCAGGAGTTCAAGACCAGCCTGACCAACATGAAGAAACCCTGTCTCTACTAAAAATACAAAAATTAGCTGGGCGTCGTGGCAGGTGCCTATAGTCCCAGCTACTCAGGAGGCTGAAGCAGGAGAATTGCTTGAATCTGGGAGGTGGCGGTTGCAGTGAGCTGAGATCATGCCACTGTGCTCCAGCCTGAGTGACAAGAGTGAGACTCCATCTCAAAAACAAAAAGTGTTAGTGGCATTCCAAGCTAGGTTGGAGTGGGCACTAAAACCTTACATTGGCATTTATTTTTTATATTTTATTGGAGGCCAGGTGCAGGAACTTATGCCTGTAATCCCAACAATTTGGGGAACCAAAGTGGGAGGATTGCTTGAGACCAGGAGTTCAAGTCACCAGTGAACTATGATCGTACCACTGCACTTCAGCCAGGGCAAAGAGTAACATCCTGTCTCTAAAAAACTAAAAGATAAGAAGACTCTATTAGAAGTAAAGATAGTAATTTGCAATGGTAATTCTAGCACAAAGACTTAGGTTTTCTAAAAATAAGCAGTGAGAAAAGTAAAAGTTAACTATACTCTTGCACTTTGACATTTTTTAGATTGTGAAAAATGATTGAAATGCTTCCATTTTCCGTGCAGGTTGGAACATTGGTATTGCAGAAGAGTGTTTATTCCTTGTTTTGATTCCAGAGATATGTAGTTTGTGTAATATACCATAAGAAAGGGAAAACAGAAATAAAAGATTAAGTTATTATTTTTCTTAATCTTGGAGTGAACATACACTTTCAATACTAGGGATAGGTGACTCCGTGAAAAATAAGAATTATTATAAAGAAACATGAATGATAAAAGTATGTGTGGGAATAATACGTATTTTAGAAAATAAGATATAGGCTTGAAAGGCACTGGTACACATGTGCAGGATTTATGTTTTCTGGTGTTCCTATAAATATTGATTAAGTCACATTGGTTTCTAATGCTTATATACAATAAAACATGCTTTTACACTATAGTATGTCAAGAAGATTGCCCTCTTAAAATGTAAGCATTTGGGAAAATTGTCTTGGAGGGTAGATGTATGATATATTAAGAAATGAAACCAAAATGGTAAGTTACATACATTCTTTAGTGACTAGGCAGTAATATTTCAAAAGTTGTTTCAGGTTTTAAGACATTTTTCATTTTTCATAGTTCTTTTTGTGATGAAATACTTCATTTTTATTTTAATGTTGAAGATGGGGGCTAAAGCACAGACAACATTTAGAAATAAATGGCTTTTAAACTTCTTATTGTATACTAAAAAGTATCGCATTTCTAGTAATAAACCACTTTGTTTAATTTTGAAAAAGGAAAATAAAATAGTACTCATAGGAACTATGAGACTAGCGGCTCTCGAGAATGTCAGTAACTACTGGCAGTACCAATGTGATTACACATTTACTTAACAGTATAAATTAGCACTTTCACAACTCTGAAGTACTTTTCCTACTAAACAAACCTTAGCATACATGGACAAATCCTCTGGCAGGCTTAATCACTTAACTTGACCTCTTTTCATTATTTGCTCGGTCTCTCCTCAAAATTAAACGGAAACTATTATATTTCATGATGTAACGTGGTAAAATTATCAGTAAATAATTTAACAAGATCTGAAAGAGATTAAAAATGATTTGCTTAACAGCTTTAGTCAATTAGCATCAATTGTATCTTAGTGAAGATGTATTTTAAAAAAGCTAAATACATGGAGAGAAGTGCTTGCTGAATCAGCTAATTAAAAGCAGTATTCAGAGAACCCAATGAGCTAAAACCAAGGATTCCACTTAAACATATTTCTCCTGAGAACAATCTTATCATTTCATCTCCCAGTATGAGAATCTATCTAAGTTGACTTTCACCTATATTTGCAATGGCATTATGCACATGCCTTTCCATGATTCATCTATTATGGAACGTGAGACTTCTTGATGAAAGGGGTGAGTCCTCCATAACTACCACTCACCACATGTGTCTGCTGGCAAGGAAACTTTGACAGGTCCTTTGCAACCCAGATGACTCAAGTGAATTGCACTACCAATGAATTGGTCATTGCTGGATCTCATAGAAGGCACAGGTGTCCACTATGTGTTTGAATGGCTTTAATTATTGATGTCAGGATGATTAGTTACCCCTAAGAGATATTTCACTAAGATACTTTTTGGAACTCTGATTTTGAAGTCTATTAGATAAGCAATAAAAATAATGATAATGTTGGGTGAAATGTTTTTCAAAGTGTTGATTTTGGAAAAACTTCAAACAAGATTTTTGAAGCACTTTCCCCTCAAAATTGGGAGTTCATGTGCATATTAAAGGTAGTTTAATCCTGACTAGTATGTAAATCATAAAAAGTTGTTTTGTAAAACACATCTGATTTTTAAAGAGAATAACATTTATTTATATTACTAACATATTTAAATATATATGCTTTTATACAGAAAAATATAACCTAGTAACATCTTAAATATGTAGCCAAGAGTATGCCATGAGTTAGGAACTTTCAGGGCTCTACAATATAGTGAAAATTACTTAATGGTCACAACAAATTTGTAAAGTGTGCAGTATCATTGGTTATCACATTTCCAGGTGAAATGTGCATGGAAGAATGTATCTCATAACTAATTTTAAATTGCTTTAATTTTTTGTAATTTAACAAAAATCCTAATAAATTATCATTAATATGATAAGGAGTTTTAGGAATTACTATATCTGTTAACTATTTTCATTCTTCAACAAAAATGTGTAGAAAAATGAAAACCAAAGCCAAAAATAACCCTCTTTTCTTTCACCTTGCTATTAATACTTGATGATAGTGAAAGCTCCACTGAGAAGATTAAAACACAAAATTTATTTTTAAAGGGTGTGAGCATAATTTAGAATCATTGCAGAATTATATGACTATAAACACAATAAATATTTATGTAACATAAATGCCTGAGGAAAGCATTTTAGTAATTCTATCAAAAAATGTAAATATCTAAAATTTAACAATTTATCAAGTGAAAATGACATAAGAAGTCTTTAAAAATTAGTTACTCATAGAAAATATGTACCTTTTCAGACCAAGTGTGTTCTCATAATCTAGTTCTGTAATTCATATTGAAATATCACATGCTGTGAATATGTTAATGCTATATAGTAACTCAAATCTGTTGTAAGCAAAAGAGGCTTTCAAAAGTTGGAATCAGTCAATAAAAATATGATTTTAGCAGCAGTATTTACTTTGAAATTTTAAATTTATCATGGAATAATTTTGATCATTAGCATAATATTAAATTATTACATTAATCAATATTTCAGGTCTTGACCCCTGAATTTAAGAAATTCTTAAAGACAATGTCAAATATGATGCAAGAGAAAATGTGATTTGAGTCTGGAGACAATCGTGCATGTAAGTATTGGGAAATTAGATTTTCTCATGGTAAAATGTAATAAAAACAAAAATATTTACTTATTAATTACTGAACTGAAGAAACTTTGATTCATTGTTTTCTGTCTAGAACAACACTAGTTTTATTAAAATTAATAGAGTGCTTCATGATATTTTGGTTATATTTTCCTCAAGATCGTCTAATAATAAAAACCCAAGCTAGCTGATAGAAGAGAAAACAATAATCAAAAAACTGCTGCAAGTAAAAAGAAAACGACTGCAACTTGACAAGATTGCGGCAAACTTCAATTTGTCGACTACAATTTGACAAGGTTGCAAAACAAGATTGCTACAACTTCTAGGTGAGTCACTGGTGAGGGCTACCAATGGCACAAATTCTATGTGATAATTAATGATGTGCTCTCATTGAATGTCATAATGAAAATAATAAGCAAAATATGTGAACATGTAAAGAAGGTTTTTTAATTGTTTTTCCCACATTAGCTCTATAATAAAAACCATCACTAGTTTCCTAACAAAATTAAATCTAAGTTCACAGTTCAATGGCAAATATCTGTTGATCAGAATTTTTTTCTCTCCTTTCAGTATATTGTTTGCATGTTCAGTGTATTAGTCCATTTCATGCTGCTGATAAAGACATACTTGAGACTCAGCACTTTACAAAGGAAAGAGGTTTAATGCACTTATAGTTCCACATGGCTGGAAGGACCTCACAATCATGACGAAAGTTGAAAGGCATGCCTCACATTATGGCAGCAAACAAGAGAAACTCCCATTTATAAATCCATCAGATCTTGTGAGCCTTATTCACTAGCAGGTGAACAGCAGTGGAAAGACCTATCCCATGATTCAACTATCTCCTACCAGGTCCCTTCCACAACACATGGGAATTTTTGGAGCTACAAGATGAGATTTGGGTGGGGACACAGAGCCAAATTATGTCATTCAGTCAAATAAATATTATAGTCTATGGCTACACCCTGACAACGTGTCAGAGTAGGTTGCTCCTGGACTTCACAGGGTGGAAGCATTTGGAAATACACTACAGCAATTCTTGTCTCTCAGAATTAGGAACTAGTTTTTAGAGGCCATTTTTCATTAGCTCAGACTTGTATGTAGCATTAAAAATATTCAAATATTTTATTTAATGTTGTTCATTCCCTGTAACGTTATTTCAATAATGTGGATGATTTAGGGAATCTTTTATTTCTTATTTAAAAAAATTGATTTTCACTAGTGAAGAATAATTTCTATTAAATTATAACGACATTTTTATGATATATAGACATTGATTCTCAAGAAATTGGTTGAGAACAATTTCCTTCCTTAAATAACTGGAGTCGGAAAATTAAAAATTAGAAGAATACTTACAGAAAATAAATGTAAACTTTATAATAAAAGATGCTATCAAAATTGTTTCTATCCATGCAAAATGCTTTAATACCTTTATCATTTGTTTTATAATTATTAAAATATCTATCTATCTATCTATAAGGAGCATTTCTGTTTGTAAGTCTAATTAAATTAAATTAAAATGTGTTAATAAGCTTCTTAATACTTTAAATTATAATGCTCTTAAACATTTGTAGTTTTAATCTATTTTAACATGCTGGGCAGGATGGCTGACACGTGTAATCCTGACCAACATGGTGAAACCCCATCTTTATTAAAATACAAATATTAGCTGGGTGTGGTGTGTGCACCTGTAATTCAGCTACTTGGGAGGCTGAGGAGGGAGGATCACTTGAACCTGGGAGGTCTAGCTGCAGTGAGCGGAGATTGTGCCACTGCACTCTCGCCCTGGTGACAGAGTGAGACCCTGTCTTTAAACAAACCATTAATCAAATCTTTAAAATAAAATCCCCAAAACCATTAATCAAATCTTTAAAATAAAATTATTGAATTAATATGTAGTTTTAAAATAAATTCTCTGTTGAGAGCCATCTACGTTTATATCATAAATATTCATGAATTATATTTCTTTTTTTTCTATTGCAGTTTATGCTATATAGCATATTTCATTTTGGCACAATGATGGAGAAAAAGTGTACTCAGTATTTTCTGGTTCTCTTGCCTTTTTTTGTGGTAAGCATAACAATATATGATTATTTCTGTTTTTGCTTCCAATACACCTGTAATTGATAAAGAAAATTAAGGAAGTTACTAGATACATAAATTAATCACATTTTTGTATCTGATTGATACAGCAATAATGAGTTTTCATTCAGTGTATGCTTTTAGTCCTATAACAGGTATAGAATGAGAGGAAGTAGAGGGAATCAGAATGGGAAAGATCAATAGACACAAATGCATAAGACACCAGAGGACTATGCATAGTTTGTATCAGAGATACAAACGGAATGACACTATAGTACAGGTTTTACATAGTAGCGAAAATAGTTTCAACCAGACTTGTTGATTCACAGTTAGATCTGTTTAAAAAAAAGTGATTCTCCCATTGATAGTTATCCCGTTCTGCCAGCTGATTGACATATCTTGATTGCAAGGCAATTTAGAACCATGCAGTGTGTTTTAAATTAATTTCCTCAATCCTTCATTTAAATAAGCAGACAATTGATGTTAAATTTGTGGCAGGTGCGTGCATAAGTGTGCATACTCATCTGCCCCTCTACATGTATACACTGGGGATATGGGGCCCAAGGTGGAAGGCAGACAAAGAAGACAAAAACTCAGCTGCTCTGCTTGAGAATCATATACTTCATACACTTAATTTTATTTTTATCATAGTAATGAATTACCCATATTTTTCTCTGCCTCAAATAGTGACTGTGCTCTTATCTCATTACAAACACGAGAAACCAAGAGACATACTCTCATTTAGTCCTGTGACAGCAAAGAATTTGCTTGAGGTGTTTCTAGCAAATACCACAAAGATGGAAACAAAGAAACCCAGAGAATACAGAAAACCTAAATGAGAAAAAGAAAACAAGCAAACCCAAGACTACATTCCTGTCAGCATTTGTATTTGAAAACATTTTCAAGTCTAGGAGCAGTCCAAATTCTGCACTTCTTAGATAGTATCTTTAAGTTGACTTCAGCTCACACCCTCCACTGAGCAAGCTGCACAGAACATTACTTTCCTGCAGGCAATTCTGTAATAGATTACCAACTGATTATTGTAATTTAAGATATTATGACTCTTCCTCTTGAATTCGTGTAAGATAGTATATAAATCAGAGTCTGTATTCCAAGTAGGGATAAAAATGATATTGATTTATACAGAAGGATAAAAATGATATGGATTTATGCAATTCTATAGACTTTTTGAGAAGATCAGCAGTTATGTGGTTTTCAAATATATTACTTTTCTTTATGTCACACATTTCCTTTATTACTTGTGCAACACTACCACTGCATAAATTTTTATTTGGAAATAAATAAAGGAATGAAAGAGTTAATGATGAATGGTGGTCACACAATGGTAAAACTTGACTGATGCTACAACAGTGAGGGAATGTCATTTTCACTTTACTAAATTCAACTTCCTGCTAGAAAACAGAAATACGGCAATGAGGGAACAAAGGAAGGATATGAAGATAACAGCTTATGGAATATAGTTAATATAAATTATGCAAAAATTACTACTAGAAATCGGTTAAAAAGAGGTTTATTCAGGCTTCCTATTATAAATCAGAAAAAATGTCATGTGGAAATTAAAGTAGAATTGAAGCTTAAAATAGTGCTACTATATTGAAAGAAAATAAATACATAACTTGTCCAAAAACTTTATTGATGTGCATAGAAGAAAAATTTCTATTTGCCAACATCACAAAAATTTCTATTTGCCAATATTTTTATTATCAAAATATTATAACAATGACCATAAATTGTGAGTAGTTCCATGTGCCAGATATATCTCCTCTGTCATCTTGATGTTATTTTATACTATTTTACAATAAGGAAGAAGAGGGGAGGGGACAGACAATATCTTGCCTTCATTCACAGAGCCAGGAAAAACACTGGGGTCAGATTGGAAGACATCTCTGTCTACATTCCAGAACATGTATTAAGGACTATCCTGGAGCTGGCTACCACAGGCTTCTGAGAACCAACTGTGCTTTCCCACTCTGCCAATGGTGACATCTTGTTAGTGTTTTGAAAGTGGACACGGAGGGGATATTTATACCATGAAAATAGCAAACATTACAAATGGGAGATTTTCCCCAGAGAACAAGTTCATCTTCCAGTACATCACTGCACTGGCTGTTTTCCACTGTGACAGACTGCCTTTGACAAAGACATTTTTATAATCCTTTTCATGAAGTTGATACTATTTTTTTAATCCCTCAGATTCTTGTCACAGCAGAATTAGAAGAGAGTCCTGAGGACTCAGTGCAGTTGGGAGTTACTAGAAATAAAATCATGACAGCTCAATATGAATGTTACCAAAAAATTATGCAAGATCCCATTCAACAAGTAGAAGGTAAGCATGACTACTTAATTGTAAATGCATTTGACATATTTTTAAAAGAAAACTATTCCATTATATCATTATAAGTTCCTTAGGTCCATTATTAAAAATAGATTAGTTGCTACCTTTTTGTATATGTGCAGTTTTAATTATGTTTGAAGAACATCTTATGACATCATGTTATATCTCTTTTTAAAAATTTTTATCATTATACTTTAAGTTTTGGGGTGAGTTCTGGGGTACATGTGCAGATCATGCAGGTTTGTTACATAAATATTCACGTGCCATGGTGGTATGCTGCATCCATCACTCCATCATCTATTTTAGCTATTTCTCCTATCCCTGCCATAGTCCCTCATCCCCCGACAGGCCCCCGTGTATGATGCTCCCCTCCCTGTGTCCATGTGTTCTCATTGTTCAACTCCCACTTACGAATGAGAAAATGTGGTGTTTGGCTTTTTGTTCCTGTGCTAGTTTGCTGAGAACGATGGGTTCCAGCTTCATCCATGTCCCTGCGAAGGACATGAACTTGTCCTTTTTTATGGCTGCATAGTATTACATGGTATATATGTGCCACATTTTCTTTATCCAGTCTATCATTGATGGGCATTTGGGTTGGTTCCAAATGTTTGCTATTGTGGATAGTGCCTCAATAAACATACATATGCATGTGTCTTTATAATAGAATGATTTATAATCCTTTGGGTATATACCCACTAAAGGGATTGCTGGGTCAAATTGTATTTATACACTCCCACCAACAGTGTAAAAGCATTCCTATTTCTCCACATCCTCTCCAGCATCTGTTGTCTCCTGACAACAGACAATCGCCAAACTAGCTGGCATGAGATGGTGTCTCATCGTGGTTTTGATTTACATTTCTCTAATGACCAGTAATGACAAGCTTTTTTCATATGTTTATTGGCTGCATAAATGTCTCCTTTTGAGAAGTGTCTGTTCATATACTTTGCCCATTTTTTGATAGGGTTGTTTGTTGTTAAAAATTTAATAAAAATATGTGACAGTGATCTGTTTAGTATGATTTTTTATGGTACAAAGTTATTTAAATCAAGTAAGTATTAATATTAACACAAAAACACAAATTTTAATGACAACTGACTTTCAGCTTATGAAATTGTATATTTCTTTTTTATTTACAACCTCCCTGATAGGAAGTTGCATAATATTATGATGAATACAAAAGTATTGTTTTGCATAATACACACAGTTTGCATAGTACATTTGGTAGTAAAGTTAATAAAATTTAAGTGCTTCTGTTTTCATTAAGATATTCTTTTGTTTTTTGGGGTAGCATTTATTGAGAGCCTGCTAAGAACCAGATATTTGCGTAAATTCTGAAGATAAAAGATGAGTAACACAAGCAGATTTGCCAGATAAAGCAAAACAAAAATAGGTCCTATATTTTGACTGACAACCCTAAAGAAAGGGTTATTTTCAAAATATCAAATGTAAAACTCAGAGTAAAATACAATTTAAAAGACTCTCTAAATATTTCTAACTTTTAAACCCTTCCAAACCCTCTTGCTATATATTATATAAAAGTAGATTTCAACTTAATTGTTGAACAATAGGAATATCTTTGTAGGATTTCATAATAAAAGTATTCTGTGGTAAAATAAGTTCAGGATCATTGTATAATACATCTTCTTGAAGTTTTATAATACACATTATAATTTTAAATGCTCTATAAAGTCTTGCAATAAAGAGCTATTTTTATTTCAACGTTGTGTCTCTAAAATCCATTTGACCAGAGAAACTTTTTTCATAGAATACCCAGTCACATCTCACTCAAATACCATAAAACACAATTTCAAAAATTCTGGACCTTGCAGTCTCTCACACTACCAGTGCTGTAGTGAATTAGATAGGTTCTTTTGGAGCTGTGATATGGACACATTTGAGATGCTTTCTAACACTACATCAAGAATTTTTTTAAATAGGTTATAAAATTTTTTAATAGGCCATATTTTATCTAGAAATATATGAATTCAAACTATTTAAATAATTGCTTTAAAAAATCACAGGACAAAAAACATCATCTGGAGTGACATTAAAATTTTGTTATGCTTTTTAGTTGAATTTACCTGAACTTACAGGCCATCAGAATTTTGTTCTATTTTCATGAGGGCTAGATAAATTTTGATATGGCTTTGTAAATCTGTTAAAGATAATAAACATCTCATGTAGCATTTAAGATCCTCTCTGTATGAGTTAGAAAACAAGTTAGAAAATTACTTTCTTTGATTATAGACTGTTACAACATTTGAACATTGGTCGTTTAATTTACCTACCTCTCACAAAAAAACATTATGTGTTTTAATGTAAGAAGTTTTTTCTTTAATTTTGGAGAAAAATGTAAGATTATTAAACATTCTACCTTATTTGAAAAGAAAAGGAATGAAGAGCCAGAATTTGATTGAAGGGCCTCAATAAGTATCTTTTGGGATTACAATGGCATAATAGGAAATACTGGACTATTTTATTTGTTTGCTTCAGAAAATATTAACACCTTTCCCTAAGCATATAGTTTCTAAAATGAAACATGTCCCTAATTCCCTTTTCTGTTTTTTAATTTTAAGTGTAGGGACACTAATTAATCACTACATTATGGCTAAGGACAACTAGCAAAGACCATTTGATTTATTAAATAAATAACTATCTTGGAAAATTAGAATTAAATCTAAATGTTATATATTTAGATATTTCTAAATTTAATTTAGAATTTAGATATTATTCTAATATTATTTGGTAAGAAGCCAAATAATTTCTGTACATACATTTTAATGTAATATCTCCATTTTCCATAAATAGCCTTTACTCCGCATTCGTGTGAAACCACTTTTAAGACTATGTCTTCATATAGAACTAGAGGAAGTTAATTATCCCTAATTTTTATTTCTTCATTAAGGCGTTTACTGCAACAGAACCTGGGATGGATGGCTCTGCTGGAATGATGTTGCCGCAGGAACTGAATCAATGCAGCTCTGCCCTGATTACTTTCAGGACTTTGATCCATCAGGTAAAAGCAGTAATGTATCTACCTATCTCCTTGACATCCATTTAATAAACTCTAGGTTAATTAAATTCCTGTTTCCCCTTTTTTTCCTTTTAATTTTAAAGAAAAAGTTACAAAGATCTGTGACCAAGATGGAAACTGGTTTAGACATCCAGCAAGCAACAGAACATGGACAAATTATACCCAGTGTAATGTTAACACCCATGAGAAAGTGAAGGTATGTCATAATTCTGAATTGAAATTGAATTTACGCTACCTATTTAAACAGCTAGTTATCCTTTACTGTATTGAAAAAATTCAGTCATTATTCCAATCCCTTAAAAAATTCAGTCATTATTCCATTCCCTTATAACGCCTTTTCATAATATAAATTGAGAAGAACAATTAAGAAATATATCCAAGGAAAAAAATTATTATTCATTTTGTCATTACACTGAAAAAGCAATCCTGTTAGGTAATAGTGTAATTTACAAGTCAATGTTTCAGTACTGGGTTTCAAATTTTCCAAAGAAAACATACCTTAAAAGTGTAAGAAAAGGAAAATCTTTCATCTGCAGTGGAATTTCTAGAATGACCTCTGAAACTGTGCTCAAGTAAACAGGATAAGCCCCGCAGGGTTTAAACAGTCCTGTCTCTCCCTCAACAGAAGGCTCTCATTCTGACTGAGTCTTAGGTCACATGCACTCAGGATCGCTTTCTTAAACACTACATGTGAAGTCAAGATTAATTACAATTTGGCACCATAATATAGCTTCAAGAGCAATCACTTGCATGTATTTGCATGTTTTTGGAATAGAGTCAGTTTGTCACAGTGATTACAACTGTGAATCCTAAAACCCAATTTCCTCTTTCTGCTTCTTACAAACTGACCTTGAAAAAGCCATTTTACATCTTTCTGTTTCAGTCCCCTCATATATGAAATGAGGGTAAGAATAGATTTTATTCTTATTATTTTCATAGGTATTGATTTAACACAAAAAAAACTTAAAAGATTAACATATAGTAAGCTCTTGGTAACTACCAGCTATCATTATGTTTTTAAATAATATATTACTGGCTTATTCAGAGAACAGTTGGAAGATAATTATACAAATGCACAATAAATGGAATATGGGCAAATAAAAAAGTGAAAACCATGAGAATGAACACATTCGTACAGATGATAGGATCTTCTAAGTTAACAAATTGAGATTTGTCTCTGAGCTTCAAATTTGTCAAAGAAAAAAGAAACTTAGTTGGAAAAGAAACTTTATCTGGGATTTAAGTCTGAACAAAATAAATCATTAAGCAGCATTTGTTTAAAGGTGCACAAAATATAAAATACTAGTTTCATATAGTATATAATCTAGATCAATCAAAATGTTGCCTCATAGATTTAATATTGGACTTCTAATTTTTTAAAATTATTTTTAAAAGGGCATACAATTTATAAATTTTGATACTGTAGCTTGATACATATTCTTCATTCAAGATGTGTTCAAGTATTTCTTGGTTTGCAAACTAATCGTTGTAAAACTATCAGATCACATTAAAAAATATAGTTTATTCAGTTGAATTTGAACTTCTACATGTGTAGGATTATAGATTCTTATATTATTGATATGAACCAAATTTTTTTATACAAATTACAGACTGCACTAAATTTGTTTTACCTGACCATAATTGGACACGGATTATCTATTGCATCACTGCTTATCTCACTTGGCATATTCTTTTATTTCAAGTAAGTAAATTTAAAATTATTTTTAAAAATCACAAGTTGTCTTGGGTGAATGCCCTGTCATGTGCATATTTATGTCATCTGCTGACAAAATATAAAAATATTGACAATGTATAATGTTTAAAATAAATTGAATGTTTAAAATAAGTTGAAATAAGTTGATCTTAGCTTTGTAAAATACGTAGGGGAGATTGATGAAATATCTTAACCCCAATTTTACAAAATTAGTAGGCATATAAAAATGAAGACATATAATAAGAAGGGTGCCCAAACCAATATACAAAGCTAAATGTATTTTCTTTGGGAACTGTCAAAGACAATAGACCATCTTAATTTATGTTTAGCTTTTGGCCAATTTTAATGTCAGAATAAGTATGCGTTATAGAAACTGGAATTTTGTGTAAATAATAGCAATGACATTTAATATATGTTATTTAAAATATCATCTAAATATACTTTGTTTGGGATTTTCCCTGGTTTACAGGAACATCACTAAAAAGGTTTAATTGTACTATCAATTTTACTTGTAATTCACTTGTTTTTGAGGAGGAAGAGTCAGCTCCAATTTTTTGAACAAATCAATCAATAAGCAATTTAAAATTTGTAGAAAGTTAAATTCTAAGTCATGCATGTCTTATTTTATGCCTTCACATGGTTTTCATAATTTTGATCATCAGCAATAGTTATAGAATTCAGTATGACAAGAGTAAGTAGCTATGTTTCATTGTATCTTCATCAGCATTGTCATCATCTTCTGCTTTTTCTGTTCCTGTAGCTGCCACTGCCGCCCCTGCTGCTTCTGCTTTTCCTTCTTCTTCTTCTTCTTCTTTTGCCTTCTCCTCCTCTTCCTTCTTCCTCTATGTTCCTTCTTCTACTAATTTTAAACAAAGAAGATATATATAAACTTATAATTCTAATATCCTATTGAGCAATTTCTTGTATTTTCTAGTTTTATTTCATATTGTTTCTACAGTTTTAATACTATTTAAAATGTTTTAACTATTTTTGTAATAGAATTATATAATTAGTAATTTACATGTTACTAAATAGTTTTTAAACAATCATTTGCTAAATTATTTTTTATTTAAGTGTACAAAAGTTTATAAGTTCTCTGTTTTTGAGTATTAACATTACTTTCATTTTTTTCAATTAAAAAACACTGCAATGGACATTTTCAACTATAACTTTTCCCATATTTTTGTACTATTTTCTTAGGCTACATTCCCAGAGTCTTTGGATTTCTTGGTCAAAGGGTATATATCTTTTTATGGCTCTTGAAAAACATCATCTCAAAAATATCTCAAAAGGCTCATGTTCAAAACAAATTCATAGCATCTCCCTCCTCCTAACCCAAGCTGATTTTCTTCCAGAGTGACCCATCTTCACAAATGACAACACCTAAAATCCAGTTACATTGGTCAGAAATTTAAGAGTAATCCATGGGACATTTCTCTCCTTTTTCTTCTCTATCACTCTTTCCTTTTACCCTGTGAATTTAACCTTTTGAAATCCTTTTAATCTATTCCACTTGCTGATCACTACTACCGTCACCACCAGGGTTGTTCATCTAGCCTTAGTAAATTCACTTTCTGTCTTCATTTAATTCGAAACAAGGCAGCCAGAATAATAGTTTCAATGATTTAGATCAAATATAGATCTGATTTTGCCATTCTTTGCTTTATAATTTTTAGACTTTTCATTGTATTCCATATAAAATCAAAATTATTAAGTTGCCCTGCTTATTCTCTTTGCCTCCTCCCTAGTCTAATTAAATGTATTTATCTTTCAACTAAATTTTAGCATCACCTCCTCAGTGAATTCTTACAGACTTACTTATTGTAATATTTCTGGAATTGCAATTAATAACAGTAGACATAGGGTAAAATTTTAATTTACATTTGGAAGACCACTATCTCTGCAAATTAAAAACTAATACAGCTGAGAGTCTTCAGATTAAATGGTCTATTTTTATGTTGCATGTCATAAGTCAAAATATCCAAGCTCATTACATTTTTGAAGAAGATAAAATTAGGAAGCATAACAATTACACTTGCCTGCCAAAACCAGTAGCTAGAAGGAGGACAATGGTCTTCTAGAATTCTAAGTCATATGGTCCCAAACAAGTTTGAATTTAATAAAGATAAATAAAGTTCTACACCAATTTCCTAAAGTCAAATGCTATATTAACTATGTTTTTGCATGTGAAAGAGTCTAAGATTTAATGGAAAATGCTTGCTGAGAACTAATGGGGCAATAGTGGGGCTGCCAAGTGAAAACAATGCTGCAGGCCAAACCATTACCAACAAATGTACAGGACTCAATTTTTAATCTCTAATCAGGCCACTTATTCACCTGTTCACTATGTAAGAGCAAAGTAAAAATTGGCTTATCACGTGAAGAAATTGAAGAAAATATCAGCTGATCAGGGCATCAAGGTACCACACCAAGAGTGTTAAACCAAAAAAAGGACAAAATATATAAGGCACAATGTATGACTTTATGAATCCAAATGCCTATAATTGAGAATACAATTAGCATAACATATAACAGATTTTTTAAAACTTAATAAAAAGTTAAAAAACAAATATAACTAAGCAAAATCTAATGAACCTTACAATTGCCTTCCTGTCACTCAGGGGATTCAGAGAGAAATTAACTGTTAACCTACCAAGAAAGTTGAAGTAGATCGTTTATCTATACTCGGTTCTTAGCTGGACCTGAGGGTCTTTAATGCTCTTTCCAAGCCCAAGAATCTATGAGTGAAACAGGAATTTAGTAAAGAGGATTAAAATGAAAGCGTTAGCTTTTTAATCAAAATATATAATCTCCGTATCAGGGACGTTGGTATTTGCTAAAGTATTTTGCAAGATTAAAGCAATCTATGTAAACTGTATTTCTTATTGATAAAGATTGGAATAAAATCATGTTCAATATTTTTATATCTATATTGATGTATGTTTTATTCAAGAGCAAATACTATTCAACTGATATTCACAAGTAATTTTAAATTTTGATTTAAGGGTTAAAATTTAAAACAATAGAATGTTTATTTCATCTATAGAGACGTGCTTTTTAAAAAAAATGATATTGTAGACTGGTCACGGTGACTCATGCCTGTAATCCCAGCACTTTGGCAGGCCGAGGTGGGCAGATCACGAGGTCAAGAGATTGAGACCATCCTGGCCAACTTGGTGAAACCCTGTCTCTACTAAATATACAAAAATTATCTGGGCCTGGTGGCGCGCACCTGTAGTTCCAGCTACTCGGGAGGCTGAGGCAGGAGAATTGCTTGAACCTGGGAGGCGGAGGTTGCAGTAAGCCGAGATCGCGCCACTGCACTCCAGCCTGGCACCTGGCAACAGAGCGAGACTCTGTCTCAAAAAAAAAAAAAATGATATTGTGTATATATTTACTAAAAGATACGACCTGTAGGCACAGTCCTCATTCCAAAAGAGAGGCCAGAAATTTCGTTCTCCCAAATACTGTCCTCAGGTTTTCCATATAAATAGAGCCATTTTACAAAAATAATAATAATATTTTAAAAAATAAAGACTACTGTGTTCAATAAACACATGCATGTGCTATTTACTAAAATGTCCACACTTTTAAACAAGATGCATAGCATGCTACATAGGCCACCCTTTGTTAAAGCAAATGAATGTCTTGTCAATATAAGATATGCGACTTCTATATAAAAGAAAAAATAAGGTTTTCAAATAATTATCTTATTTCTAGTTGAAGTTTTTACTGAAAATACAATTTTTATTTTGTATAGCAAACTGAAAAGAAAAAAAGAATTTTTCAATGATGAGTTAATATGAGAGGTGTGCACTTGAATTCAGACATAACTTAATTTTAATGTTAAGTATAAGACAATGATTAAAACATGGTATGTATTCCAAACTTGCCATTACTACTTGCTGATAGTATGGACTTAGCCTGATTTTGCTTTACTTAAACCTCAGGGGTGTGTGTGTGTGTGTGTGTGTGTGTGTGTGTGTGTCTTTGTAACGGGTCATGATGCTTTTTTAAAATACTGGGCAAAGTAGACTCATATAGTACCTGGCATTTAGGAACTCCCTCAATAAGTAGTAAGAGTTACTAAGTTTTCCATTAGACTGTATCAATCATATAGGCACTCAAAATACATTTACGTAGTCATCTAAAATACTCATATGTAATATTAATACAAAGTAAGATACAAAACGAACAAAACAAAAAAGAGTGTTACTGTGGAGCCACAAAGACCTGTGGGAACACAGAGGAAGGAAAGAACATTCTAATTCATAAAATCTGAAGATTCCTGAGGTGATACTCTCATTGAAACAAACACTTCAATGATGGGTGAAACTTCAATAGATAGAAATTATAAGCCATAAGCAGTGAAGAGATTGTCTAGTCTCACAACTAATTTTACTTATTTTCTGATTAATTAACATTTTCAAGATTTCTACTAATCTGTGTTCTAGTTCACTTAATTTTTTAATTGACTCTATAAATCTTTAAAAACGAAGAATTTGAAAATGAAAGAAGTAAAACTACAAATTTTCCTTTATTATTATACATTATCAGGCCTTAGGTAAAACCTGAGAAACACTCTTCAAGAAAAACTCATGTATACCATTTCAAAATTTTCTATATGTCTAGAGGTCATTACAGGAGAGTGTATTCTTTCTTTCTTTCTTGTTTTAGAGCTAGGCTTTTGGTGTCACCCTGGCTGGAGTGCAGTGATACGATCATAGCTCACTACAGCCTCAGACTCCTGGGCTCAAGCAATCCTCCCCCATCCAGCCTTCCAAGAAGCAAAGACTACAAGCACACACTACCACACACAGATAATTTTTAAATATTTTTTTCTTTAGAGATGGGGTTTAACTATATTGCTAAGGCTGGTCTCAAACTCTTGATCTCAAGTGATCCTCCTCCTTCAGCCTCCTCAGCCTCCCCAGCCTCCCAAACTGTTGGAATTATAAGCATGAGCCACTGTGCCCAGCCTGAGAGTA